ACTTTGATGAGGGACATACTGATATTTGCAGTATTTCTTTTTCATTATGGAGTCATCAACAGTATAGAACTTTTTTCAGGAAACAATCTTCTCTAGGGTTATAATTTTCCTGTAGTTATTTCTCACAAAATCCCTCCAAGTTTCATGGTTGCTTTGCATAAGTAGTCCCAAAGATATTTGGCACTCAGCCTGGAGTTTGAGCACGAATATTATCTTTTTCTTGAATAATATTACCTCCTGATTTGAATAAGTATCTGACTGTTCCTACAGGGCCAAATAATCACTTTCATTGTTCCTTCTAAGAATGTTATTAAATTGAGTTTATTTACAGGAATCTGTGAGAAATAATACATGGTTATTTTTTCCATGAGCTATTATTAACAGAGTGTTCTGGTGTTACCTTTCACCACACATAGTTCACCGTTCCCTTTGAGGGGCAAGTTCTGAGCGCATCCTCAGGCAGAATGTTACTAAGGTTGCCAGCCTAGTGCAATGGAGCTTTTCTCTGGGAGTTTCCTCAACGATCAGTGCAGTGCAAATGACTGGGGAGTTGAACACCGGTCACAGAATTGTTGAGATGAAGATTTTAATCTAGTCCAGTGTACTCTTGTTTACTGATAGGGAAACTGAGAGCCAGAGTAGTTAAGTGATTTACTCAGATTTATACCCTTTATCCGTTCTGACATCAAGAACCTTATTCTTTCTACCTTAGTGCCTCCTTTAGAAGTCTTGCTTTGAGAACTGTTACGTGCCTTTTGGTTAAAATCATTAATTTGTAATGTACTGTAGCATCTAGACAGACTGTCATTTGGAAGAGCTGTTAATTTTTGTCAATCACTTCAGTCAGCAAAATTTCAATACTTACTTTTTGTATCTCTGCATATGCTTTAGTGGACAGTGGAGGGAGGTAACTTGAGAGCCTCTTTTAATGCAATTTGAGAGTTTTAGTAAAGATTAATTTGATAACTTGATAGGTATGGTTTTACTTGAACCGTAATTTAGGAATTATTTTTTACAAGAATTTTTTTTTAGTTGACCATAGGTAGACTTTTAATTATTATGAAAATTCCTTAGTTATCTTATGTGTCTATAGAGAGAAATATTGAGAGCTCCTGCTTCATTTAATTCTAAAGTTATGAGAAACTGCCCTTCAATGAGATGTGAAAGT